TGAAATGAGAATCTCATTATGTAAAGAGTACCAAGGCCCGAAATATACAACAAACAGTGCCCTATAAAAATGAAACAGATCACGAATAAACGGCTCGGTTACCCACGGCTAACTAGCAGCATACTGAAATCCATTGATAAGAAACACCAATATGAAAAGCAATATAGACAGGGCTTAATACACAAAGATATTCTTAAGCACTATTCATCAGTTCTCACCAGACTAATAAAAAAAGCCAAACACTTGTACTACTCCAGCAGATTCACTGAAACAAGAGGAGATATAAAAAAGACCTGGAAAACTCCCTCTCAGATTATGGGAACCCACAAACTGAAAAAAACCCAAGGATATTGTCCTAACTAAACCGAATGAAACACCACTGCATCCCATTGATACAGTTAACAAGATAAATGACTTCTTCTCAAGCATAGGATCTAATCTCGCCAGTAAAATCCCAGGTGCCAACGCCCGTGCAAGTGGTTACTTAGATGGGAATTACCCAAACTCCTACTGAGCCCACTGAAGTCACCACGATTATTAAGTCACTTAAAAATAATTCAGAGAATCTGTCTCACGTCCCACCATTATTGTACAAGTGAGCGGCCCATGTCCTCTCGCATGCTATTTCATTACTTTTTAACAAGTCACTAGAAACTAGCACTTTCCCAACACTACTCACTACGAAAGCAAAAGACTTGGCAGACGATGCAACATCCCCCCAATGAAAAGCAGGGGTGTCACTAGCACGTTAAGAGACCATACAATAAGTGTCAGGGGCCCGAGACTGTTCAACTGCCTCCCAGCATACATAAGGGGGATTACCAACAGACCCCTGGCAGTCTTCAAGCTGGCACTGGACAAGCACCTAAAGTCTGTTCCTGACCAGCCGGGCTGTGGCTCGTACGTTGGTTTGCGTGCAGCCAGCAGTAACAGCCTGGTTGATCAGGCTCTGATCCACCAGGAGGCCTGGTCACTGACCAGGCCGCGGGGGCTTAGACCTCCGGAACTCTCTCCAGGTAAACTCAAGACAGCAAGGGTTACACCAATACATAAAGGTGATAACCCCACAGATGTTAACAACTATAGGCCAGTATCAAACTTACCATTGCTATCCAGATTCTTTGAGAAACTCATGCACAAGAAATTATATTCATTTATAACAGCAAAAACATACTCAACCCCTGCCAATTTGGCTTCTGAAAAAATAAAAGCACTAATGATGCGATTGTAAAAATGGTAGATCTGTCTTATTGCCAAACATAATGAGGGCAAATTCCTGGCCTGCACCTCAACAGCAACCTGAATTTCAGCACCCATATCCAACACACAAAAAAACTATCCAAAACAGTTGGGACCCTCTCCAAGATACGTTACTACGTGCCACAATCTGCCCTTCTTATTTCTCAATATTAACCAGATCTGCCAAAACATCTGCTAGTCTTATCATCTGACTTCCTGGCTTTTAATTCTGCCATTCCATAAAATATTACCACCTGCACCATTACTTGTAAGGTAGATTTTGTACTAAGTTTCAATAAGATTGTATTAAGTTCTAGTTTTAAGTATAGTTCGTACTATTATCTTATCTAGTTTAATTAGTTACTACGTATTAGGATTAGTTTGCCTGAAATGCCTCGGCATGATATAGTGGCTATCTTTATACTTACCAAATCAAAATTGTAATTACACATTGCAACCTTTACAAAGAAATAAACTTTATTTTACTTCTCACACTATACCATTCACTCATTTCTCCCTACCTCACCTATGAAATTTGTTCTTAGGGATGAACTGCAGCAACACACCTAAAGCCAATAATAACCCAACAAAATGCCGCAGTACGAATAATCAAGCAATCCAAACCCAGGCAACACCCCCCCCCCCCCCCACTCTTCATAGATCTAAACTTACTCACTGTTCAGAGCATCCACACTTACTACTGTACAACCTACATTTACAGAACCTTAAATTCCAATATTAACCCTGACCTAAAACACTTTCTTGATAGTTGTGACAGGACCCACAGGCATAACACAGACACAAACATCTTTACGACATTCCCCCATGTCTGGATAAACCAATACAAAAATTCAGTGTACATAAAAGGGCCTAAAATCTGGAACACCCTACCTGAAAACTCTAGAACTGCAGACACATTCATCACTTTCAATTTTTTTTTTTTTTTTTTTTTTTAACAAGTCGGCCATCTCTGACCTTTTATTTATTTATTTAAAAATTTGTGCACACATACAGAGGTACAAAAAATACAGATAAGAGCAGCATGCCAAAGCCACTTATACTATGCATAGCATTACGGGCATTACGGGTAACCCAAAAAGAAAATCCCCAAAATGAAAATACTTTCATCATTATTCAACATTTTCACCTCGCTCATACATAATCACTGCTTTTGCAGAGGCACCCAGATACAACAGTTTAGAAGCATATATAAAGATACAATATAAAAAGGTACCTGAAATAATTACAATATCAGGGCCCCCATTATATATATACCGTCCTATTACACATCCCACCAGGCTGCCAATATCCCAAACCCCTCCTTTAAAGTGCAGGCATTGTACTTCCCATTTTCAGAACTCAATAACCGGTGTCCCTGAATCCCTTCACTAAATATTACCCTGCTCATACTCCAACAGCTCATCAGGTCCCAAAAACCATTCGTCTCCATTCACTATCTAACACGCTCATGCATGCTTGCTGGAAGTCCAAGCCTTTCGCCCACAAAACCTCCTTTACCCCCTCCCTCCAACCTTTTCGAGGATGACCCCTACCCCGCCTTCCTTCCCATACAGATTTATATGCTCTCCATGTCATTCTACTTTGATCCATTCTCTCTAAATGACCAAACCACCTCGCCAACCCCTCTTCAGCCTTCTGACTAATACTTTTATTAACTCCACACCTTCTCCTAATTTCCACACTTCGAATTCTCTGCATAATACTTAACCACACATTGCCCTTAGACAGGACATCTCCACTGCCTCCAACCACCTCCTCGCTGTAGTATTTACAACCCAAGTTTCACACCCATATAAGAGTGTTGGTATCACTATACTTTCATACATTTCCTTCTTTGCCTCCATTGATGACGTTTTTTGTCTCCACATACACCTCAATGCACGACTCGCCTTTTTTCCCTCATCAATTCTGTGGTTAACCCCATCCTTCATAAACCCATCCGCTGACACATCAACTCCTAAATATCTGAAAACATTCACTTCTTCCATACTCCTTCTCTCTTCTCCCATTAAAAAGCATCTTATCTCCCTGACACACCCCACCGTCAGCTAACTACATGAAAACCGCCTATTCTCTTGTATCATACACACAAAAAAAACAACCTAGACCTCCCCTGTGATTACACTCATGCAATTGACAATAAACATAGAAATACATAATACAACTATTACCTAATGAATCTTAACTAGTCATAAGTTTGCCTGTGATACTTCTATGTAGAAACTATGTACGTATTGTACGAAAACAAAACCATTCACACTGGTAAATTTACGAACTGTAGTGCAGATACTTAGCCTTAATACCAATATGCTCCATAATCTGTACCAATATAGTTTTGAATTAAACTTAGTCTGCCTGAAATGCCTAGTCATGCTAGATGTGATAGTGGCCCACTCTGTAAATTAATATTTTGTAATATTTTTTTTTTTTTTTTTTTTTTTTTTTTTTTTTTTTTTTTTCAACAAGTCGGTCATCTCCCACCGAGGCAGGGTGACCCAAAAAAGAAAGAAAATCCCCAAAAAGAAAATACTTTCATCATCATTCAACACTTTCACCACACTCACACATTATCACTGCTTTTGCAGAGGTGCCCAGAATACAACAGTTTAGAAGCATATACGTATAAAGATACACAACATATCCCTCCAAACTGCCAATATCCCACAATAACCTATAATATGTAAACCCTGCATTGTAATTTTTTTTTTTTTTTTTTTTAACAAGTTGGCCGGGTGACCCAAAAAAGAAAGGAAATCCCCAAAAAGAAAATACTTTCATCATCATTCAACACTTTCACCTCACTCACACATAATCACTGTTTTTGCAGAGGTGCTCAGAACACAACAGCTTAGAAGCATATACCTATAAAGATACACAACATATCCCTCCAAACTGCTAATATCCCAAACCCCTCCTTTAGAGTGCAGGCATTGTACTTCCCATTTCCAGGACTCAAGTCTAGCTATATAAAAATAACCAGGTTTCCCTGAATCCCTTCACTAAATATTACCCTGCTCACACTCCAACAGGTCGTCAGGTCCCAAATACCATTCGTCTCCATTCACACACGTTTGCTGGAAGTCCAAGCCCCTCCCCACAAAACCTCCTTTACCCCCTCCCTCCAACCTTTTCGAGGACGACCTCTACCCCGCCTTCCTTCCCCTACAGATTTATACGCTCTCCATGTCATTCTACTTTGATCCATTCTCTCTAAATGACCAAACCATCTCAACAACCCCTCTTCAGCCCTCTGACTAATACTTTTATTAACTTCACATAGAGAATAAACTTGACTTCATTTGATTTGTCTGTTCAATTGCAAGTCCAGAGTTACAATGACTTAGCCACAGATATGTTAGGTGAAGTAAGATTCATCAGAAATTAGGACAATGCCCTGTGATGTGGATCTTACTCATATGAGGACCTCTCCACCAATGGAGCTTTTGGTCAAATGACTGAGGCCTTCTACTGGCATGACAGTTCACCTTTTTAAAATTTAAAACTATATTTTTAACGCAATGACTGTCTCTCACTAGGCAGGTGACCAAAGAGAAATCACATTTACCATCATTCATCCAATCGCTACCTTGCTACGCATCTAGAAATATTTATGGTCTGTGGCTGAGTCAGTTCACCTTTGGACTTGTGGCTACAAGGATGGCAGTTCTACCCCAGTGCTCCATACACAACAATGTTCATTGTGTTTATTGTAACAAAATCTCTCTTGCTTCTTTTTTCAGAAATGGGTCAAGAGTCTAATGCTTCTTTAGCAGGATTGTCAGCTCAGCAAGTTGCAGAAGCTATTTTAAAGCTAAATTCATCAAAGTAAATACTATATTATTTAAAGCTTGTATATATGTCTGAAATGTTCTATAAATGTAGAATATAAAATGTGTTTTATTCATGACTGTCCATATTTTTTCACATACATGTACTGTAGAAGGGTAAGGTTATATAGAACATATATAATAGGACATTAGTGAAGAAAGTATATATACATGTATGGAAATACTTTCATAAATATTTTGCTAACAAATGGCAGTATTTTCCTACAGTTCTACATAGCTGTAAATGGTGTAACAGGTACATTAAAACAGATTTCATTCAGTAATTCTCACTTCTCCAATAGTATTTTACCGTCCATTCCTGGAAGGTACAAATTTCCACTACCTTGAGGGAGAGTGCCTTTAGGCTGAAGGGCTCTTGATCCAAAGAGTTGGAGCTGTCCTTGCCGTCCTTGGATGAAATCCGATTCTCATTTCCTAGTTGCTCTATAACCTCTATGGGTTTAGCAGTTCCCTATGTACTATGTGTATTCACTCACTCACTGGTTACCTGGTTACTCTCTCCTGGCTACAAGAGCCTTGTCGTACCTCTTGTGTGCGCACGTGCATGCATGTGTATGTCTTATTAATGAACTAATGGGGAAAGGGGGTATACAACAGTGCCAATTGTCTACAACTCCTGAATTATGAACTTTTTTGCTGATGCAGAAAACAACCAGACACTAAGAATACATGTATTATAACCTGTAGTAGTCCAGCACTGGACTGGACTGTTCTGTATAATAATTTTATAGTAGTACTCTACATAATTTACACTAATTTTTCTTACCTTTTCATGGAGGAGAGATGAGGTGTAAACTGTTGTGATCGATAGTGGTGACTCAGGATAACTTTTATTCTGAGTCAGAGGAGCTGTAGAAGACTGAGAAGACAAGATTTCCGAGAACCACATGTTTTCTCCTGGCAGCACCACTTGCTTTAGAAGCCATTGTTAACTGCTTTTTATTTAACCCTTAAACTGTCCAAATGTAGATCTACATTTTTTCAACATTTGAAAGTATGTAAAAAAACGTAGATCATCATCATTTTTTTTTTACATTTGAAAACGTGTAAAAGAAACTTTGATCTACATTTGTTTTGTTATACATGTATTTGAAAATATGTAAAAAAAAAGGTAGATCTACTTTTGGAGCACTACGGATGTGAACGTAAATTTATTTGGACAGTTTAAGGGTTAATACAGTATGTTAATAAAGTCACTCTGAATCTAGGGAAAATTTGAGACTGAATAATAAGTATTTGTTTGAGTAAGTGCAAAGAATAAACTGGTGAGTGGCCTATAGTCTAAAGAACTATGAAAGATGTGGCCACCTTGGTCTGTCCTAGACAAACGTCAGAGTTAACAGACTTAGCCTGATACTCTAGAAGGCAACCTAACACTATCGCTACGGACAAAATGTGGAACTGCAGATTTTTGTTGATTTTGTCTTAAGAGATTTTATGGCCAGTTTTTTGTTTGAAATTTCCAAAATCTGTTAATGAAGAGGTTTTACTGTATGTAAATAAATAAAACTTTGATTTAACCAGTTAATTGTCGAAACGTAGATCTACATTTTCACTGCCAGTGCTCTGAATATTTAATTTTTTTTTTAATTAAAGAGGGCAATTTTCTGTGTGTAATAAGCAAAAAAAATTTTTCAAGTGAGTACTTGCCAAGATATAGGGCTGCGAAGTTGGTGCTGGATGCTCACCTGATGGCAACATGGAGTCCTGCTGCTTGCAGAAGTGTTGCCAATATACCTTTTTTCTTTTTTTTTTTTAATTTATAAATTTTTTATATTGTGATAATTACAATTTCTAGTAGTTCTTGTGATTTCATAGCCAATGTTTGTTCTGACACAAATATTAGGTACTGAAATAGTACTCAAATAGTCACAAACACACTTGACAAGTGAACATTTTTACCTGCTTTGGTCACATACTATTGTCTAGAAATATATACAAAGTATTAATAGGTCCCAGCAATGTTCTAGACATGCTGGAGTATACATGAAATGTCTTGAAGCATGGTGTAAGACAAGTGTCACTCCACTGCTGATAGTGCAGCAGTGGAGTGACATTTGATGATCGTGCACTGCCTTGGTTTTATTTATTTTCACTGTTACACAAACATGTCTGTGTATCTGTGTCTGTCTAGCTCTGTTTCTGTTTATTTCTGTCTGCTTATCTGTCTTCCTGTCTCTCTGTCTCACAGAGAGAGCCGCTCATGAGCCAACAGGTATTACACACGATGCAGAGTTGTCACATCTGATTCCTGAAGAACTGAAAGTGCGTGTTACTCGACAGTCAGGCTTATTATGCCTTATATCTACAAGCACAGTACAGTAGTCCCCCCCAAATTTGTGGGGGTTACGTTCCAAGACCACCCATGAATTTGGAAAAACCACAAATTCTGGATGCAGTTAAAAAAATGCCTATTTGTATAGTATAAACCCTAAATATGCTCCCAAAATACTTTAATTGGTATACATACTGTAATTCATGGAACCTCGTTTTCTTTGGTATACCAATGGGAAATACATGTACAGTGGACCCTCGACCAACGATATTAATCCATTCCAGAGAGCTCATTGTTAATCGAAATTATCGTTAGTCGAGTTAATTTTCCCCATAAGAAATAATGGAAATCAAATTAATCTGTGCAAGACACCCAAAAGTATTGAAAAAAAAATTTTTACCACATGAAATATTAATTTTAATACACACAAACTGAAGAAGACATGTACAATTACATGACACTTACCTTTATTGAAGATCTGGTGATGATTGATGGGATGGGAGGAGGGGAGACTGTGGATGGTGTTAGTGTTTAGAAGGGGAATCCCCTTCCATTAGGACTTGAGGTGTCAAGTCCTTTTCCGGGGTTACTTCCCTTCTTCTTTTAATGCCACTAGGACCAGGTTGAGAGTCACTGGACCTCTGTCGCACAACATATCTGTCCATAGAGGCCTGTACCTCCTGTTCCTTTATGACATTCCTAAAGTGTTTCACAACATTGTCAGTGTCACAATTAAACACTTGTTCAGGTTTCAATTCTTCACTGTCTATGTACTCCTTGAATTCCTGCACATATTTTTCAGCTGCTTTTTGGTCCAAACTGGCAGCCTCACCATGCCTTATCACACTATGTATGCCACTACGATTCTTAAATCTCTCAAACCAACCTTTGCTGGCCTTAAATTCACTCACATCACCACTAGTTGCAGGCATTTTTCTAATTAAATCGTCATGCAACTTCCTAGCCTTTTCACATATGATCGCTTAATTATTATTATTTTATTATAATCAAGGGGGAAGCGCTAAACCCGGAGGATTATACAGCGCCGGGGGGGGGGGATGTGGAAGGCATTCAGGCTTAATTCGGGGAACTGGAGCACAGATCCAATTTCCTAAATCAAGAGCCCCTCACCAACATCAAGGAACCTTCCTTGAGGGGTATGATCACTTAAGAGATGCTATCTCCTGCTATCTGTTTTTCGTTTATCCACACCAATAACAGCCTCTCAACATCTTCTATCACTTGCGATCTCAATTTCGAAAACATAGTTGCACCTTTGGCAAGAACAGCTTCCTTGGTTGCCGTTTTCTTGGCCACAATAGTAGCGATGGTTGATTGGGGTTTTGTGTACAACCTGGCCAGCTTGGAGACACGCACTCCACTTTCATACTTAGCAATGATCTCTTTCTTCATATCCATAGTAATTCTCACCCTTTTTGCTGTAGGGTTGGCACTAGAAGCTTTCTTGCGGCCCATGGTGACTTATTTTGCAGGTGCAATCACTAAAAACGCTGTGATAATATGAAATGTTCCGATTGCATGTTTGGATGGGACCGCGGTGGCTGGCTGGCTTGTAAACACTGGCCACAAGTGGACGCGTCTCAGACGGAACAAATCATGTTGGTCGAGTTTTTTAGCGCTAGTCGAGGCAAAATTTTTGCGTTAAAATGTATCGCTAGTCGGATTTAACGTTAGACGATGCCATCATTGGTCGAGGGTCCACTGTATATGGTATTAACTTAATTTTGTAAAAGTAACGTTAATTGTATGGGTACTCGCTAATAATGAATGATTTTATATGGAAATTTTGTTGAATTTACATTAATATTTATGTTACAAAATTATTAAATTATATTTTTCTTAATTAGTGTTAAAACACATAAAAAATTATACATTGCCACCTATGGCCTACAGCCATATTATTACCATCAACATACCATGTTCACTGAGTTTAATCATTTCTAACAACTGCCATTAGATTCCATCATAAACAGAGGGAGAAATAATAAATAATTCATGCTGAGAACTGTAAACAAAAGCCTTATGTACTATTAAGGGCAGTTACTGGGCCAAGGCAGATTCATATATGTTTTCTCTGAAGCTGGACCAGGGAAAACATAATGTTTACCCTCCACCCAACCCCACCCCTCGATAGCACATAAACATTGCATGTTTATATACTATGTAACATGTTTCTTATAGTATAATTTTGAGGAAAATATCATAGGTGGATTAATGAAAATGTCTATATTAACCTAAGACATTTAATGTGCCCAAGAGTGATTATTATTAACACACAGTGCAGATAAACATTGCATGTGTATATGCTATGTAATGTGTTTCTTACATAATTTTAAAGAAAATATCATAGATGGATTAATGAAAATGTTTATATTAACATATAATAAGACATTTAATGTGCCCAAGAGTATTATTTATTTATTTATTTAGTAATTTAAGCATACAAACAGAGGTACAAAAAATACAGGTAAGAGCAGCATGCCAAAGCCACTTATATGCATAGCATTACGGGCTGGCTTAAAATTAACTTAAGATTAACTAAGCAATGATGAAATCAGTGATAAAACATTATTGTAAACAGATAACTATAAAGCACAAATGAGTATTACAAAGACAGGTCATATGGTTGCTTGCATTGCTGTACATTCAGTCGAATGGAGTATTCTGTTAGGTAGTGTATTTAAAAAAATAATAAAGTTAGATTGGGTCCTAGGTTTAACATTTGTGTGATATAATTGTGAGTAACA